AAAGTGTGCAAAGGTGGACTTATTAGAGATAAGAAGAGAAGAGAAAGAGATATAACTCTTCCAGGCAAGCAACAAAACAAGGGCAGTGAGAGCTAAGGTTATAAGCGGGTAATAGCGAGCAACAGAGAGTGCGGAAGAAATATAATAAATATAAATAAAAAATACAGTTACATAAGCATTATAATGAATAATAATAAATAGCATCAATATGTAAATAGTGTAATATATACATATAGATACACATATACATATATACATAAATAAGTATGTACAAAAAATAAAATGATTACTAAGATACTAGTTCAGCAAGAAAGTGTGCTTTCAACCTTTTCTTGAAAGAAGCGATAGACGGGCTAGGCTACGGAAGAAAGTCGGTTCCACAACTGCGTGACACGAGAAGAAAAGGAGTTAAAAAAGAAATTTGTTTTACAGTTAGGACGAACGAGCATTTTAGTGATGCACGGACGCCTTGAACGGGTGGGAGGGGGTAGCAACTCGAACCGGGAACGAAGGTAGGAAGGGCAGTTGGAGTCATGAAGTATACAAAAATATAAATATTATCCAAACACTTCAGATATAACATTCACTGAGTATAATGTTGAATGTGTATGTGTGAAAAAAATATATAATTCCAGTGGTGTTTAGGTGCAACGGTGAATGTACCGAATTTGTTTACATTTGCTAGTTGCTTCGACCTCCTCCTGTGGGCTTAGGTTAGTTTAGTATATGACAAAGCTGCCAGAATCGAATTTGTTTGCACTTACTAGTAGGTTCGACCTCCTCCTGCGGGTTTAGGTTAGATTAGTAGGTATATGACAAAGCTGCCTGAATCGAATTTGTTTGCATTTGCTAGTTGGTTCGACATCCTCCTGTGGGTTTAGGTTAGTTAGTACCTATATGACAAAGCTGCCAGAATCGAATTTGTTTTCATTTACTAATAGGTTCGACCTCCTCTTGTGGGTTTAGGTTAAGTTAGTATATGACAAAGCTGCCAGAATCGAATTTGTTTGCATTTGTTAGTTGGTTCGACCTCCTCCTGTGGGTTTAGGTTGGTTAGTACCTATATGACAAAGCTGCCAGAATCGAATTTGTTTGCATTTACTAGTAGGTTCGACCTCCTTCTGTGGGTAAAAGGTTAGGTTAGTATATGACAAAGTTGCCAGAATCGAATTTGTTTGCATTTGCTAGTTGGTTCGACCTCCTCCTGTGGGTTTAGGTTAGGTTAATATATACAATTAAATATTCTACTTAAAGTTTTAATAAATAAATTTTATAACACAAAGAGCACTTGAAGCTATACAAAAACAATTACGAGGATCATGCCAAAAGAAAGATTTTCAATAATTATAAAATTTATTCTTTATTACAGGTATTGATTTTTTCAAAGTATTCACCATAAACACATATACACTTTTCCATTCGTCTAAACCACTTCGAAAATATTGATGACCACTCTTCTTTAGACATCTCAGAAATCTCCAAGTTATAAGCAGCCAAGGCATCTTCTTTGCTTTCAAACTGCTTGCCTTTTATCTTTCTTTAATTTTTGGAATGAGGTAAAAATCACAAGCTGCTAGGTCAGGGAAATATGGCGGGTGAGTGCAGGATAGATACATTTTTTGAATGAAAATAGTCGAGTATTCTAGCAGAAATGTGCGGAGCGGCGTTGTCGTGATGCCAGAGGAGGTGCCGAATACCTGACTTTGGCTGCTTGTCACAAGCTGACAACACTTTTAGAGCACAAACTGTTATATACTATTTGGAGTTAATTGTCCTTTGATCCTCTAGCACTAACTGTAGTGATCCATGAGTCCCGTCATGCAGAAAAATGAGGCGGCCATTTGTTTCTGTGTGCTTCGTGTACGACGACATTTCGTTGGCGTCGGCGCATCTTCAAAACACCATACAGTGGACTGTCGCTTTGTTTCAGGATCATAGTTACATAGCCATGTTTCGTCACCTTTCAGTATATCATAAACGTTTTTTTTCTCGCCAGGGTAAAATTTATCGAACATAAATTTGCACCAATCCACGCGCCATTCTTTGTGCTCATCGTTAAGTTTGTGCGGAACCCATCTCGAACAACGCTTAGGTATGGAAAGACAGTTGTCCGTGAATAATAGTTTGCAATGCTGCTGATCCAATGCCCAATTCTTGCTCAAGCTCTACATATCTAGTTCGTAGGTTTTCATGAATTATTTTTTCGACAGCTTGAACGTTTTCTTGAGTAACCGCGATTGGCGGCCGACCTGACTTCGCCTCACCTTCAAAGTTTCCCCGTCCTCTATTAAATTCAGCAAACCAATTGAAAACTGTAGCTCGTGAATAAGCAGTATCACCAAAAATTGTGGCTAAAAGTTCAAAACATTCTCGCGGATTTAAACCTTTTTTGTATTCATAATAAATCGTAACACGAAGATCACGTCGAGAGAGCTCCATTGTTGCGAACAAATTCCCGCCAGATTGTCTCCGAAAAATAAAAAAATGAATAAAAAAGAATTCCATTTAAAACGTGTTCCATTTTCACATTTATTAGCAAATAACCTGCCTTCACGACGGTGCATAACTTGCCAGTATCAATCAAGTGATTAAAGAGTATCTAAGTTCTTTTGGCATGACCCTCGTATATTTTGTGATTGTACATTTAATGGAATAAAAAAACATAATGTAGAGCGCTTCAACTATTCGTAAAACGAAATATTGTATTATATTATTTAATACATTATACTAGAAGTGCTTATACCATTTGTTCATTATGTCACTTAATCATTATATCTAATGTTTGTTATACTGAAGGTTCATTATACACATTGAAATTGTGCCTGTTGTTACCTTTGCCGTTTGTTGATTATATACAGTGAATGATTATAATATCCTTAGAAATTATACCAAATGTGAAAATATATTATTTGTTGTAACACTGCCCTTGTAGCTTACAAGGGAAGTGTTTTTTCGAAGTTCGTATGCAAATGCAAAACCGGTAACAATGCGTTAACCTGGAAACTTTGACTTGATATTCAGGTGTCGTGTTCCTCAGAGAAAGTTTCAAATGATTCTACCTACGACTTAAATGGAGAAAATAAAATTTTATTTTTGTCGAGTATATCATCAACATTTACTGCCATTAAATTTGTCCCCGATATCGCAACGTGAACTGGGCGTATTTTCCTACTTCCGGTCAATAACCTAAATATATATTCTCTGTTCTCAAATACGCTCGAAAATTTTTGCATTACTATAAAAAATGTACGGAAAGTTGGGCCGTCCGACTTCTTCCCGATCAAAGCCTACAAAATAGGTATGAAAATCCATTAGGTACTGTCCGCTGCTCTAAACTTTTCAATCTATATACTAACAATTGACATAAAAGAAGCAAAGGAACACTCATACAACCAAAACTGACCAGTGTTCGTATCTAATTGCGAGAATTAAAATACATAGGTACAGGTACCTACCTGAGTCGCTATAACTTTTTGAAAAGAAAAAGACGGTAAAATAAAGTGCTTTGGTATTATTTTTTGCTTTTTTGGCTTTTTTGTATTTCCATAACGAAAATTAATTATAGTGAAAAAAGCGATAACGAAAGTACAAAAATAAATAAAGAAAGGAGGTATATTAGTCATAGACAGGTTATTGCCCGGCTATGAACAAAGTAAGACACATGAAAACTTATGACACTTTACACTTTCATGCTTTAGAGATCCACATTACGTAATCACGTCATGAGAAGTTCTACAGACTATTATTAATGTGATGAAGAGACAATACCACTTTCTCTCTTTAGCAATTGTCCTAACATGTCAAATACTGCCTTCGTAACGAAAACAGGCACAACGACAGAAACCTAGTCCGCACACGCTAAGTGAGGCACATTGAAGCGCGCCCAATGGGCCTACACGAGCGGGCGGGCCTTCAGTGCTCAAGGTCAACTTGCACCGCGAACAGCTCCAGAATTTTAGCTAAAAATGACGAAATGTGCGGTAAATGAGTGTAAAAATACGTCAGACAAACATAAAATACATACTAACATCACATTCCACAAGGAAGTAACGCGTTTCAACATGTATTTTTTATAAATATTCACTAAAACCGAAAATTAACCTACTACTAAAACTAGCCTACATGAATTTGATTTTTGCCTCACTTGTGACAGTTCGTTTGATATGAAACTATCATTCTTTGCGTTATTATTCTAAGGGCACAACTATGCGTACTTTATGCAGCAGTTGCGCTTTTTTTCGTTCTGAGGCAGAATATTACTGTAAATATTAATTAATACTTTTTCTTTTTCTATTAGGTATACATTCTGTCTCCCCTTAGTCTTGTATTTTTTCCTCACATTGTTTGAGGAAAACTACACTACTAGCCTCGGCGGGAACGGAGATTGCTTAACTCGTATTAATAGGTCAAGTCTCTCACTAACTCACGAACTCAAACTCGTCCAGCAAAACTTAACTTCCCGGCCTCTGCACTAATGTACTATTTTACTTCTTGTTTGATTACTAAAGACACGTATGCGTCCTGTGCCCGCGAGAATACCTATTTCGGTTATTTATGGCTGTTAGGCGTCACAGCATGGGGTGTGTGTTGGTACAATAAATGACGATTGTCAATTAGGTACGGCGCTTGATTGACTGCCGCCGCAGTACTCCCTCATTGTTTTCTAACCGACGCCACTCTCTCGCTGGTAACTTACGCATGCTGCGGGCGGGGCGCGGCGGACGAGGCGCGATCGATCGGCGCCGCGGGCCATAAACAAAACGCTGCACTAATTCCATTAAGACCCAAAGTAACCCCGCTATAAATCGTGGTAGAAGGCCCGCGCCCGTGATGCGCCAGTTAATGGAAAAGCGCGTTTTCCGCGCGCCCACTATGGCGGCGAGGGCGGCGCGGGCGGCGAGGGCGGAGAGGGCGGAGAGGGCGGAGAGGGCGGAGAGGGCGGAGAGGGCCCCGCCTCGGGGCGGGCCTCGGCGGCGCGCGCGGCTCGCCGGCAGTGGGCCCGCGCGCGCAGTTGCCGGTACACGTGTATCTGATCGAGCGATCGCCGATAACGCGACTCGCAGTGACTAAAGTGCTGACTCGGCGGTATCGTGTTCCTCCGCTGCGGTCTTGCCAGCCGGACGGTTGCCGTAGTTATATCGGTCAGTGCTTCCTTTAGGTACTTGTGCGGAAGAATTGTGCCGTCTGTTAACACGAACACCTGCTTCTTCAGACAACAGAAGTAAGTCCAGGAGAACTTTATTGTTAACCTTGAATTTAGTTAGGTTATTTAGAAACTAGTATCACTGAGCAACATATTACCTCACTGCCTTTTCGTTAAACTGCGCAATTTCTCGTCGCCGCGGTGCCGTCGCCGGTGGTCAAGCCGCGCGTCGCGGGTATAATGATAATTGAACTTTTTGCAGTTGCAGTTTATGTACACACGCCAGCACATCAAGCTACATATTGACGTATCTTGTTCCGTTGCACTGGAGGCGATTTTCGAACAAAAATGTGTAGTCTGATGTGCCGTTGTCCGTGCATGTAGTTACATTCTCATAGAAACTAATTTCGAGGTGACGAATCCCTCCCATTTCTCGTTGTCAAAAACAGAAAATCTTGCACTCACTGAAACTAAAGGTTCCAAATTATTTAGTTTCCACAAAATGTTAATATGACCTTTTTTATTACCACGTGCTATTTAGATTCATAATTTATAATTAGTACAGTCAATAGAACATCGAGCTTGTCACTTTGTATGTTAGGCCGTTCTCATCGCAAGTTGCATAGAGTTGTTGAATTTCAATAACCATGTGGATAAAGATATGAAATCAACTCGTAGGTATACCCATTCGTCGAATATTTATTTCAATACGCTGTGTTGACAAACACTATTTATATTTTTACTCCACTACGGCCAAACCAAAAAGAGTATCTATTAATATTCCTCAACTGTGGCAAGAATTAATGGTTGTTTCCCACTTTTTCGAATGCTATTTGCAAACCCCAAAAGGCACAGGCTTGTACAAATACCGTCTTTACGCCCATTGTGATTATTCCATATATGTCATTAATTCGCTTTTGTACGTTCACGATCCGGTGTACTAAATGCCCTAAAGTGAGAGTGTGTGTGTGTGTGTGTGAAGAGGATGCGCATCGCGAGCAGTGCCGGCGCCGGCGCAGGCGAGCGCGACGCGCTAAGTGCCAATAAATCGTCTAATTAATTGGCCAACCAGCAACCAACCGCCAACCGTCGACTTGCATGCTGCATTGTCAACCACAAAAACTATTGCGCTCGATTAGTCGCCACTGGCGCTGCTCTAGCCTGATTCGACTTCAGATGTATATTCACGGGCAGGTATTCTGCAAACATTTCAAAGAAACATATAGAAAGTCCAATTTGGAGCAAATTCAAAATCTTAATAGGTATCTTACGTTTTTCGTTTTTCTAAATTTGAATTATTATAATTTAATAACCACAAATAAATTATTTACAACACTTATATTTGAGGATCCTTATTCTGTTGTGATTTCTGTAGTGCATTATTAAATTCTGTACAATATACAACTAACAGTCAGTCCTTTTCGCACCCGCGACCGCCTTGGCTTACAAACACCTTCAAGTCACGCGCAGATAAGGAGGTATAAAACTAAACAAAATTACTATCAGAGTTACAAATGTTCATAGTTGTACGCACATGGTCGGCAGGGTCATCGCCGTGTCTGTCTCGGTGAAAGGCCTCAGTCCCAAAGGCCTAAATTTACTCTGATATAAAAGTACTGACAGTCCGGCAATAATCTGTACTAAAATCTATATTACGGCCACGCAAAAACTATTTTATGAGCCGTTACAATAGAAAAAAAGACGGAAAGATGTCACATTCCCAATTTCCGCCGGCACGACATCGCCGTTCGCAAAACGACATCAACTATTTCTGGGATCGTTCATATAATAATGCAAATCGAGCTTTTGACATTTACTGTATACTTACTAAAATATCTAATCAAGGATGATCCCTGTGACAGTTCATAAAAATCTACACAATAGGTAGATATAACTTTGTAACGACGCGCATTAATTTGCGTATTGCATAAACAATTTTTTTAAGCCTCATTTTGAAATGTTTAAGTAAATACATTAAATTAAAGTAAAATTAACACCAAATCGATATTTATTTGTGAGAAATGAGCTGGACACATTTTTTTTAATTCTTTAATTTTTACGACAATTTGCAAAGGTTACTTACTTCATTACACACTGCATTTGATACAAATGCGGTATATCGATAAAAAGTTTTCGATAATGTAATGAATAAATGTGTAGTGTGGGGGGGTCTTCTCCTTAAAGTATGAATTTTAATCATAGGCAATGAATTAACATGTCCGTGCAATTACTTTTCTAAACTTATTTAAATTATAATATTATGATAACGTTTTTGAAATTTTCTAAAATATATATTGAAATTTAATTTATTATGTTTATATTATCTTCCGTATTTATTTAGTATCGAAATTATTATTTGTTTAATTTATACAACATGAAAATGGCGTCAGCTAGCTGGTTATCGTATCCGCGGAATCCTCTAGGTTATAGCTGAAAACCACCGGTTTGCTCCTGAGTAAACACCGACGCAGAGCTATGGCCGTTTCGCGCTGCTACAGCGCACATACATAACTGGGTGTTCGGCAGTGCTGCGACTCTGCTGTTTTTTTTTCGTTTTTTTTATTGTATTACATATTTTTCTGTTATGTATGTGTGTCCGTAGATCCAAATAAACGTTTTATCTATCTATCTATTTTGAATTATAATTATGTGTTTTATGCCTTCAACATAATTCAATTTCAGACATCTATACATCGTTCAGAATTCGTCACAAAAATAAAGCAATACGAAAGTGCTTTTGCTACAAAAATCGAATACACTAAAAATCTTTACTTTTAGACTTTACCTCAACTCTATGACATACGTGTCACAGGGATCATCCTAGTTTGCGTTTAGTATAGAACACGTAAAGAATGTAAACAGCAGTCACGAAGCACCCGCAGTTAAAATGATGTGAGCAAACGGAGTTAATGTTTACATTTCAAATCAAATCAAGTATCTTTATTGCGTAGGTAATCAAATTACACTTGAAATCGTCACAAACTAGACCAGAAACCACTAGTCCTTAGCAGGTCAATTTCATCTGAGAAGAATGTTTTTTGTGTGATCACAAACATTCAATAGCTGGAAGTACTCCCATTTATATATTTTTTCTGATAAATTTTGTTGAATTTCTGGAATTTAATTACAAAAACGTATGTACAAATGACGAGCTATATAAATAATAATATTTTTGTTTCTAAGATTAAAGTAATGCCTATCAGTGATTTTCGGAAATAATGCTACATTTCTATGAACGTTTATTATACTTCCAAATATAAACGGAGTTAAAATGTTTGATTCTTTAAATCGTTCCCTCAAAGTATGACGGCGATTTAACTTATAAATTGCACGCACAGCTCGTTTGTGGAGCACAAATATTGTTTGAATATCTGCCGTTCTTCTCCACAACAATATGCCATCCATAGGCGATAACACTATGAAAATAACTAAAGTAAATTACTTTTGCCGTAGCTTCTTCCGTTAGCTGCCTTATTTTCCAAATGGCGTACGATGCCGAACTTAATTTACCAGGCAAAGATTGTATTGCTACGCGCGCATATTTACACACAGTACATACACAATACATTTACATCCACGTACACAAACACACACGCGCACTTTTTTCTTTAAATTTTACATTACTGTTTATTTTATTTAAGTTTGGATTTTCATAACATTTGTACTAAAATTACCTATTACATTTATTTATAGAACTAGCCTGAGAGTGGAGGGTCCGAGGACTGTGACACATTGTATCCCAGTACCTGTCTAACACATAGTACGCAAATTCATAAAGATCTATCGATATCATTGTGTCAGATCAGTGCCATTGTGATTGGAAATCAATGGTTATTAACTATTATAATTACATTACATTATTAGTGCACATTAGAAAGATATAGTAGATACATAAAACAGACAATGAAACATTGTTTATTTTGTAAAATCACTGACCAGTGAGTAAAATACATTAAAAATAACTAACTAATTATAACTAACAAATTAAAACTAAAAATAAGTAATTTATATATACTTATAAGTATAAAATGATACATTGCCATCGACAGAGTGGCACTTTTTCGACATTGTAAAAGTCATAAAAGTGATTAAAATGACTTGGTGACTTAGAACAAATGTGTTCAGGTGATTTTGTCGAATGATGGAGTCAGATTCACTTCCATTTAGGCGATCCCAAAGAAATAAATAAAATGATTTTGTGGAGACAGAACACATCACAACAACTCAGTTATTGAGAATTTATATGTTGAGCAATGAATAAATTTGTGTTAACATACCAATGGGTTTTACATTGACACATTTACCATATACAGCCTACAACTTCCTATATCAATATGTTATAAAAACGACACATAGTAGTTACGTGCCGCGAGATTTGTGAATTCCGCCGCTGCCGCTGCGCCTGCGCCGCCGTGAACACGTTTTACAAATTCCTGACTTGCGTTTATGTGAACGTAAGCTAATTTGACACGAACTAATAACACACCGTGAGGTGCTCATGTACATTCACAACTATATTGTAAATGAATTCATGTCGTGATGTCTGTGTACAATAGTTATTTCCATACAGCGGAGACTGCACTGTCGCGTTGTGCATTTACAGCGTAGTTATCTACGAATCACTTGCATGTTGAAAATGAGCCAAATTCAAGCATATCTAAGTGCGATCTTATTATTTATTGTTACTGTTTCCCGCTATCGGGGACCTTTCTTTAAAATCCTTGTGCAATAATAGTTGCAAAATCAAATCAATAATGTCTTTTCAATAATTTTTGAATAAAATGTAAATACCTGCCAGTAATTGTATAAAGTTGACTTCACACAATTTTTTTACAACAATTATGTTTTGTGTTGTAACCGCCCGAAGGGAAACTACATTAAACGGGTCATTGATTCATAATAAATTTTATATTAGGCGAAGAGAGACGAGCGAGTGACTTATCATAGCCAAACTTGATGCTTTCTAATGTCTACAATTTATCACCACCGTCCCTCTGCATCAATACACCGTTAAATGAATCATAAGAGCATAAATATTTCTAACTTTACAGTTCAAATATTTCGCAATTTATCTGAAT